ACCCATGGAGTCTCATAGAAAACAGGGCCAGCGTGTTTCGAAAAAGACTTTGTGCAGAATATGGTTGCTGAGTGATGAACGCTTCCAAATCATGTCTGTTGGTTCACATTAAGCAATGTAAATGTTCTTGATCTCTACAGGGCTTGGAGATGAGCTAGTCTTTACCTCCTCCATGGATTTATGAGTGTATTCAGAAAAGAAAATATTCCAGCTTTGGTCTCAGGAATATGAAGTCTCAGTTTAGCCAGTTTTGTTTGTTTAGGTCCTTTTGTTGCTCTAGCCCTGGGTGTGCCCTTCTGCACCCGGGAGTCAGTCTCATCCTTGTCACCTGGTGTCCCCACTGCTGACATCTATTGTGATTTCAACATGCATCTTGTTGTTTTTGGTATGCTGAAAACCCAGGGTGTAACTGATAAGGTATTAGATTTAAATTAAAAAGTAAAGCACCTGCTTATTAGAATTATGGAAAAAGTTTGAAGTAGTCCTGACTGTTCTCTAAATGCTGAGTAGAAGAAAAGTACAACCTCAGAATAACATGTATGTGAGTCAGTCTCATGGTTGCTCAGGAATGACTTGGTTTTTCTTTGCCGTTTGGGATTAGAAATCATTTGTCCAAGAAAATGGTAGTTTATTTGAATCCATTAAGATGCAGATGACAGTATTTCCCATGCTTTGCTTATTTTTTAATCTGTTCTTCTTACAAAGCAGAAATATGTTGATGAACCCCACAGCAGCACTTTTGTTAAAGTGAGGCCCTGATTCTCCTCTCTATTCTGGTTGTTTTATGTTTCCTATATGCCATATTCTGCCACCTGTGTTGGAGTAGGCCCATACCCATGTGGTCACCTCTATCACTTTGTAATTTTGCCTTCCATCACATTAACATTTACTGCTCTCTTTACAGCATTCCCTTCACTAAAAACCCTAGAAAACCTACTAATGCTAATTACTTGAAAATAGTAGTTGTAATTTTAATGGCAACCTCAGTAAATTGCTTTTTATGTACTGAAAGAAAATTGAAAACTAAATGTCTATTTTTCTGTTTAATAAGATTCTTATAGAAGAAGTAATAGTCCTTTCACTGACTAGTGGGAGCATGAATAAGAAGCTCCCAGTATCCTCTGAGAATCCCTTTTCGTGCACCATGGGGTTAACAGGAGTTGAGGAGACAGCCAAAGGCTCAGTAGGTGCAGAAATGAAATAGAAATGGAAATGCAAGGAAGATGAAAGATGAAGAGTGAAGAGACTGTGAAAGAGGGTCAAGCATAAGGAAGATCACACAAGGCAGTGGAAGCCCTATTAAAACTTTAGAAACCTCTCTGGATAAAAGACTGGAGAGTTTGGCTGGCTTCCTTCTGCTGTTGTATGGGAGCTCGAGTCCAGAACTGCTGCAGCTGTAAAATGTAGGGCCAGGGTGGGGAGGGTTCAGGAGATAACGAATAGAGAAGCAGTAACACTTTATACTATAATCCAAGTGTCTGTTTTTTCATCAGTGAAATTTATCAGAAAAACATCTCTCCTCAAATGCAAGCGTTAGACAGTTGGTAGAAGAGCAGGGAGCTGGGGATCCATATAGAGGTCAGTTAGCGTCAGTCACCCAAGCATTGCTGTCCCAGCGATCTTGCACATATGTACAGTGAACTGCCTGGCAGGAGGATGTTTTGAGGCATCTAACTCTATGGATCTTGGGAGCTGATGACTTCTGCTGGGAGGCTGTATCCTAGTGTTTGCAGATCTGCTCTGCTGGGCCCCCTGCAGCGGGTCAGTCAGTGCCTCAGACACAGGCGTGAGGTGTCAGTTATCACCTGCCTGGAGCCTGCCTCGGGGTCTGCAGTGGTTTGGCAGGAGCGGAGAGCTGCATGGTTTGGCAGAGATTTCCAGAATGGACCCAAGGCAAATCAGATTTCAGAGAGAGGAAGCTCTGGGCGGGGGGAAGGAATCATTGCTTGTCCCAGGCTGCTGCTCTGACCGCCCTCGATCCGTATCCGAGTGCCCCGAGAGAGGGGGGAACTGAAAAAGGATCTCCTTACACAGACCTTTCCCAAAGGATGCTGGCAGGAGAAGTAGCTCTGGATTAGATCCATTTGCTCTTAACATAGTCAGTACCTGCGAAGAGCCAGACTCCTGCCTGTCTTAATAATTTAAGCTTTGCAGAACAGAAGCTGAGTGAAATTTTGACCTTATGTATTACTGCTGTGTAAGTAATCCTCAGAAACACTCAGTATTGTTAACTGTTTGTAGTTACCCCAGGAGTGAGGAATAATGACGTCGTAGTTTTGCAATAAAAAATAAAGCACAAAGTGTGTTCTGGATTGTAAATTTTTCATTAAAACATGTTTTGAAAGCTTGGGAGAAGCTGGTATTAATGAAAATAGTTGCTTTAGACAGTCTTGTTTAATTCAGATGCAGTTGAGGCATATCTCGTGTGTGCTGTATGTTAGTCTTGGTTTTAAAATGTTGAAATAATTTGTAAAATGTGATTATAGATATGCCAGAAACAATAGCTAGAGACAGATATATCAAAACAGAAAAGGCAATTGGCAAGTTACATCCAGGGGTAGTTCTAGAAAGAAAACACCAGAAGACCTGGTCCATGTTCAGTTGACATGTAGAGGAATGTGAGTCTTGGGTTGATATAAATGGTATGAAAGATATGAATAAGCATAACTATTGTTTATCAACAATTTGCACCTAATTCAGCTTTCATCCAAGATAACTATGTGGTCAGTGAATTGGCTCATGCTTTATTTTTCAAAAAGACTGATTAACCTGTCTCTTTTGATTTCTGAGGTGTTCATATTCACAGTGCTCTTTAATTCTATAGCATAATTTTCTATATTTTGGACCCTTAATGGAAAACGTATATATGATTATCAGTGAAGAGGTGCTTTATTACACCTTGGGTTTTGTTTTTTTTTTTTTTTAAAGAATGCTTTATGATGTATCATACAGCAAGCTGATGCCTGTTCGTATTGAAATGCCCCATTCATAGCTCTTCCACATAATCTTTCTTTAAAGAGTGGAATTCAGCAGTTGACTCCCAGGCACAAATAATCATGTAATTACTCTGCAATCACATACTAATTAGCATGTACTATTCATATATTGCATAATTATATGCCTTGCAGATTACATAGTAATTATATTTGTACTAAACATACAATTCTGTATAAAAAAATGTTGAGAGTTCATAGTTAAGATTATAGTGGTATGTTAATGTAGTACAACATTTTATATAAAAATGTTACAATTTCATGAGAAGGTTATATTTTTGATATCTTGTCTCTTTTGCATCTGGTGTTGCTTAAAACTGTGGTAGGCTGCTATTATAAGAAATGCTTGACTGTTAATTTATAGTCAAATGTTGCATGTTTATAATTTTGTACTTTGTGATGGTAAGCAAAAAAATTGCAGTTTATTGTGCAAGAGACTGGGATTGTGAAGGACTTGGGTATGCGTGTTACATGTACAAAGGTTAAATGTACAAACACACTGAATGTGGTTACAGCATATCGCCAGAGTGAAAAATCTAATACTACTTACGCATTGCGTTATTTCTGGATGTGTAAGATACATGAGATAGTAGCAGGTAATGTATTTGTGATGTGCAGTGTGCGCTAGCATCCGAGGACCGTCTTGGGCACAATCAGTTCAAGCAAATGCAGTACCTCGGTGCACCACGTCAGCCAAGCTACAGCATCTTTTCCTGCCATAGCAAAAGAGAAAAGGTTGATGTCCTGATGTGGGAATGGGGAGCAGAGTCATAGGAGAATGGAGAGGAGTGACACGGAGTTGTAGAAGGGCCTTGGATGGAGTTTTTTGGGAAAAGGTTGAAGATCTAGGAAAAAAGCTTTTTTAAAGAGAAACTTAGAGCTTTAGATCATTTGAGATGTTTTCTCTTTGGCCAGCCCCCCTAAGAGGTTGCTGCAGAGTTTTGGATATTTGCAAAATGTTTTGTTCGGCTTGTGAATTCTGTAGCAATGGGAAGTTAATGTATTTTCTTGGATCTGAGATGCTGGCATTCCTAATATCCAAAGCTGCATTATGATTATTCTTAATAGAATTTTGCATTCTAATGCCAGTTGCCTTCATTTTCAAGCAAAGCTTATATTGAGTTTTAATATCTGGATAATGTATTGCAAAATTAAATGTGTAATTATAGTCTTAACTCTTATCTGAGTTTAATTTTTTTTATAACTTCTTGTAGTCCATGCATGCATGTGTGAGAGACACACACACTCCTTGTTTTAAAACGTTTCTGTTGCAGTCACTTGTTAGCTCTATGTCAGCTTCTTCAAAGCTTGGAAACCATAAAACTTCCAGGGTTCAAGTGGCATCTATAGATCTTATAAAAGTGTCTTTAACTGAGCATGGAGCTTCCAGGCCTTGTGGGTGGCCTCAGAGAGCTCACATTCGTGGGGCTGCACCTGCTTTCCTTTCCATCTGGGTGGGCTGGTTTTATACCTCAAAAACTGTAGCAACAGGCATGTGGCTTTTACATTCTGCAGAGTACACGAATTACATTTAAATGTTGTTACCTGGTATAAGCATTGAATGTCATTTAACCTGTTCAAGGAAAAAAATAAAAAATGTCAGAGCTTTACAAAACAAGAGTTAGGAGCCCGCATTCTCACTGTGTTCTTGTGCAACTGGCCAAACATATCCCTTCCGATTTACCAGGAATTTTACTAGCTTTTTAGTGAGGCCAAGTATTACCCAATATTCATCCTGCATGCCTGCTACAAAGAAGACAAAGTACAGCCTGTCCGGTGTAATCGTCATTTGTGTGCCAGCATTCTGATCATAACGCATGCCTGTGCTAGTGTTCACTCGTTAAACCATTACTCTCAGAAACATAAGGACTGGTCACAGTTTCTGTCACTGAAAGTTTTGTGTGTAACAATTCTGTGATCAGGATCTCATTAACAGTGAAATAAACGCAAACATCAAAACATATAAATGTGACGCCTTTCTTACTGCTGTTGTGTTGTTTTTTCTAGTGGAGCCAGTGCTTTCAAAGGGGAACAATTGCTTGGATGCAGCAAAAGCTTGTAACCTAAATGATACCTGCAAGAGGTTCAGATCTGCTTACATAACCCCCTGCACCAGCAGCACGTCTAATGAAATCTGTAACAAGCGGAAGTGTCATAAGGCCCTCCGGCTATTTTTTGACAAAGTTCCCCCAAAGCACAGCTACGGGATGCTCTTCTGCTCCTGTCGAGACGTAGCCTGTACAGAAAGGAGGCGGCAGACTATTGTTCCTGTGTGTTCATATGAGGACAGGGAGAAACCAAACTGCCTGAATTTACAAGAATCCTGCAAGAAGAATTACATCTGCAGGTAAGATAGCACATGGCAGGGGAGTGATTAATGAGGAACCAGAGAGAACTTGTTGGTACTGCTGGATTTGCCAGGACTAAGGTTCAGAATATCCACTAGGGAAAAGGATGAGTCAGGGAAAAAAGCAAACGCCTCTGACATCCTTAACAGAATAACAAAAGCCTGCATCTGGTTACAGTGTGTGCCTTCTCCAAAGCTGTTCACAGCTACTCCCTCACATTACAGAGGAATCTTTAAACCCCCAGTTTAATTTTTACAGATTTTTGTTGGAAACATTTTCATTACATGTCCGTATAAAATGGTGTCTCAGAATGATTTTGATGTCCCATTAGTGACCAGGTGAAAATAGAATTATTTATTATAATGGGATTTATTTTCATTGTGATCTTACATCTGAACACTAATAACTGTGACTACAAGCCACGTGTTGGACTTTACAAATGGTCCCAATACACAGACTACTCATGGGCTTTTTTCTTCACTGGAAAAAAAGGAGTCCACATTTGTAGACTAGATCCCACTGTCTTTGTAGAGCTGTTTTAGCCTTAGAATTGTTTTATTGCCCCTCCCCTGACAGGAGTGCTGGGCTGATACAACCGGTGGGTCATTGATTCACTGAGCTGATTCCCAGTTGGTTTCCCCTGCGTGTTCAGCCTGGAGAAGGCGGCGCTGATCCCTGCTTCATGGGACAAACGGGAGCCTTTCGCCTTCAGCGAGTTCCCTGCAGGTTGTCACACAGCAGTGGCACACAGGACCTCCTCTGCCTGTGGGAAATGCTTTATTCCTACTTAGCATTGTGTATGATTATAGAAGGATGTTGTTGTGTTAATGTACTATTTATGAAGTTATGCCCGAGAATCTTGTTGATTTCTAATGTGTAAATTCCATTATCCAGTTCTGTGAATTAGCAAGTAGGGAAATAAGCACTATTGTAAAATGTCAAGGACACTGAAGATGTAAATCTTAATAAGTACTTATGCATGCCTGGTAAAATATTTCCTTTGAAGTTTGAGATCTCCACTGCTGGTTTTAAATGTTTAGCCATAGCACCTCAGATCTGCCCGAGTGCTGTTCACAAGTGAGGAGGCAAGCAGCACTCTGCTCTTGATGGCTCGGGGGAAATCTGGAGCCAGTTTCCTGGTGGCTTAAATTAGAGCAGATTTAAATCGGAGCAGGGTTCTCATTTCAGCCCAGTGAGTTGCATTCAGGACCTTCATAGCTGATGCTATTGCAGTTTATGAAAGTTGGGTACATGTAGTCTTAGAATCGCCTATTTTCCATTTCCATGTTGTGCCATTACTCTTTTTGCTTATATCTATTATATTCCCTATACGCAGGCCCTGCTAATTAGTAGAATTACAGTATCTTCACCGTGTTTTCTGCCAAAGTCCCAGTGTGTTACAGTGCCAGTGAAATGGAAGAGAGGATTTTATAGGGAGAGTTCTTCCTATGATGCAGGATGTAGTGTTCAGGAACTACTTAGTAAAATTAATGCCACTACTTCTCTTATGACTGTGTTTTCCTTTGGTCAGCTTTGCTCTAATGTTGTCTCAGCAGCTAAGTTTTTAATGGCATTTTGTTTGATTTTACTTCAGGAGTCTGGTGTTGTGTTTTCTCCATTGCAACACGGCAGGGGAAAGCTGGGTAAAATCTCTGCTCCCATTGCCTTAAGTTGCAGCCAGCACTGGGTGAAAATTGATTTCTTTACAGGCTCTTCCGGTAGCTTGTTTTCTTCAAAATACCAAAATTAAGAAGTGTGGACTCCTCCATGGCTCAGTGAGACCTGTCTGTGAGGGAGAGAGGCAGCAGTGGTAAAAAGGGTGAGCAAATGCCCATGGGTTCTGGGGCAATTAGGTCCTACGCCTGGGGTAAAGCAAGCTTGATGTGTTGCTAAGAGTCATCTCATGTAGGGGTTAATACCTCCTGGGCTGTCCAAACTGCTCGTGTATGTAATACCTTCCCTGTCTACTGTCATGGAGAGGAGGAGTCAAAAGCAGAGCTATTCCAGCCTATCCATAACACAGTGAAAAAGACACCTTGCCCCTGTGACTTGTTGTGCATTTAGAGGGAGTTGGTGTGATTTGTTCCCTGTGTCCTGCAGGGAAACAGGGACTTGGGCAGTGGAGGAGAGAAAGGGGAGAAGATCCCCTTGAAAATGTTGGCACTGAAAAATATGTCTACATAGTAATTCCAGTTATGTTTATAATAATTAAAAGCAGTAGTCAGTAGGCATATTATTCTAACTCTGATAACTTCTATTTCATTTTAAAATCAGAGTATCTAAATAGGAGAATAAATTCTGCCAACTGTGAAAGCGAGTCATTTAGAAGCCTATTACACCTATCAAAGCTTCTTCATAATGCTGATTAAGAAAAAAGTTTCTAAAAGTACCTCACAAATAGTTTATGAATGCTGTTTACTCAGAAATGCAAGATTTGCATCTGCCCGTACTCTGTGTAAAATATTAACTGGGCCTTTGCAAGTAAGTATTTAAACATTCAGTTTTGGATACTTTTTAAAAGCTTTGTCCTGGATGGGTATATCACTGAACCTGCTTTTGTGTCAGAGTTAAGAGCAGGGAAGTGGTTTGGCCAAACTGCAGGTACCACTAACTGAGATGGCAGGACAATTTGCTTATTTTTTTTCTTTTTTTATTCATTAATCTGTCTGTTATATAACATAAGCTCTCGATAGAGGGAGAAAGGGACCAGAAATGTCAGGAAATGCAAATAAGGTCTGACTTATGTAAACAGTCCTATTTTTTCAACGTCATCAGAACACTGAATTGTTCACTTTCATTATAATTTTTCTGCTGCCTCTACTTGTATCGCAGTCCCTATCCAGCTTTGAAACTGAGTGGAGTCTCCCAGGCATGCCGGTCAATGGTTACTGAAAAGAAAAAGAAAAAATAGAACAAAAAAAGCCATTAGAGTTCCTTTTTATTACGAACATAAACAAAACTTCTAAGGAACGTCAATATACTGTCAAAAACTTTCACCAATGATGTTGTTTTGGAGTAGCTCAAACCTCTCAGGAACCTCCCGTTCTGATCACTTCAGCCACCAATTAATCTTCAGAAAGTTGACTGGCACATTTTAAAAATACCATTCTGCTGTAAATGCAGGGCGGTGTGCTTCGTTTGTGCCACTATCACATTTGACAGTATTTCAAATACTACTTTTTTTTGAGTAATTAAAGTGTGAGCAATTAGTTTGTCTTTTTAATAATCTGTGTTTCTAATTTGCATACTTCTGTATCTCCTGGATATGTTCAGAAGGCACTGACCAGAATGATAATGATACAGACACATTATTTATTAAAAGAACACTATCAATCCAGTCACATGCTGCAAAGATCTGCAAAGAAGGGTAGTATAAAATGAAGGGTTGTTTTTTTTTTTAATATAAGGATCTAGTAACAGCATGTTTCTTGTCCTCCACAATTACGATATTCAAAATGCTTGGTCAAATCATTGAGGCTCATTTTTTAAGGGGAAATAGCCAGAAAGTAGTTCTTGACTAATTTCAGAAGACAGCTGTTTGGATGTTTTTTGACTAAAATAAATGCTATTCTTAATGTTTTGCCTTTAGTTCTGCAAAAAGCACATGTTGCTGACTATAGCTATTTAATACTGAAAAAGAAAGGTAAAATGGCTGCATAATACATTTAAATAACTTTTCCTCATGGGATGTCTGAAGGATAATAATGACAGATCCTATTAAGTTTAAGTAGATGGGTCATCTCCTTGAAAATACAATAAAGATATTTTCAGCACTGTGTGTTCAGAGTGCTAAATCTTTTTAAAATGTGCTTTTATTGGTGTGTTCTTAACTCTTGACCAGTTTCTGGTCACCTGTCCTATCCAGTCGTAGTTTTGTTGCAACCACCCATTCAATTCTATGAAAGCTATATGCATCTACAGGTATAAGAACACTGTGTAAAGATACACAAACATTTTTATTAGCACATAAGAGATTTCATCTACAGGAAAAGCTAGAACAAAAGCTCAGCAGCTTGCTACCTTTCCTGAAAACTTGCCAAGAAATTAATTTTCCTTCTTTATGTTCTGTTGAACATTTTTAATAATAATTTACTATGGAAAGGGAGGCACTCTGTCTGTTCTCCCTGCCTTAAGCCATGTGCAAATCTGCAAGTGCTTTATACCAGTACCTGTTCATAGGAGTGGCTTCTCCACGTAAGACCTCTGGGCTGTTCCTGCAACATGTACCATTACTGATTGCAAACCATACACCCTCATGGATAAGATTTGCCAGAGGAGAGGGTGGTTCAACACTGTAGGCAAGTCTATGATGAGGTGTTATATATGTGCAGTCAAACTTTTTTGTCCTGCCATAGCAGAGGGGGAGTCTAGCACCTTGTATGAGGAGGGAGCTTCTTCATTACAGCATTAACAAGTAGCAGGGAGGAGTGCACTAAAGGGTTGTGTGGGGGAAGAAGAAATATACCCTTTTCCTGAGATTTTCTGTTCCTTAGACTTATCTTTCATTTCTCTCACTTTCTCCCTTGCTTTTTTCTTATGCCTCTTCCCCTTGCTTAGTCTCCTTTCATCTCATCTTTCCAGATCTCCCAGTCATTATTTGACTTTCACCGCCTCTCTGCCACATTTGAATTCTCTCTCTTATGGCCACTTACAGTACCTCCTCGCCTGCTCCTCTGCTTGTTGTTCTTTTCCTCCCTCAATACCCTGCCACAGTCCAGTGATCATCTGTAATTCAGCAAATGAGAGGGACGACATAGGTGCTACCTCCCTTAGTGAGCTTTGTAGCTTGTACTGGTTACACTTCCATTGGCCATCTGCTAAGCCTGACTGCTCAGTCTCAGACTGGCTCTAGCTTTACTTGTTAAAAGAATGCTTATCGGATATTTTCATGAAGGACACAGTAGCATTATAGGGTTCTGTATAACAGAGATTTTCTTCCCTCTGGGGTATTTATGTCAGTTTGGCACTCAGAGCTGTCTGGCAGCTCCTCAAGATGATT